AACCTAATCCGCTGGTTCCGCTTCCGGATGAGTTATTCTTGTCCTTCCAGTATTCGCGACATCTCTCTCCTTCTCGGCAGCAATTCATTCAGAGGTAAAAAAATTAGGATCAGCCTCTAGCTTTTTAAGTTCAAGCTCAAAACTTCACACCTTGGGTTCTCAACGGCCATTAATACAAAAATATTCTTTGCCCTCAACCATTTTTCTTGGGGCATTTGTTTTAACAAGAAATTCATCAGGAATAATGCGACTAATCTTGATTACCTCTGATTTGAATTGCTCCTCTCGTTCGGCCTTGTTTTTGTTTTTGCTGGCATTAACGGATTCGACATTTGGTGCTAATTCGAGTTCTACTTGGTTAACAATTTTGGGTTCTACGTTTCTTAAGGGTTCTGCATTTTCGTCCACTTTGTTTTTGGGCGGAGCAACTTCGTCCACCTCAGATTTAACATTTTTTTCGTCAACCCGTTCCCTTAATTTTTCGTCCACCTTAATTTCGTCAACCTGATTAAGCAAGGTTTCGTCCACCTCTTTTTTTGGGTTGACGATTTTTTGTCTTGCTTGGCTTTCGTCCACCCGAACTTTTTGAGCTAAATATTTCTCTCTCCTCTTGCGGTTTCTTTCCTCTTTAATTTTCTGATAATATTCCTGGTATTGCTCTTTGGTAAATGGCATGTTAGTTTTCGTTATTTTCTTTCTTTTGCAATAAGTTCAATAACCCTTCTTGCGGTTATTTATCACTTAAAATCTCTCGGGTTCGGTCTAATAAAACCGCAATTTTTTGATAAAAATGGTAATCTCGGTTTGAAGTTACTGTTTGTTTATCTAAAAGACTAATTTTCCCCAAGATAATTCACAAATCTAATTCTAAATTTTTAATTTTTTTACTTTTTTTCATAATTTTCTAAACTTTCTGACAAAGCGGGTATTTCGTTTTCCAAATCACCAAAGACGAGTATATCCTTCAAAGCATTAAAAATGTTCTCAATATCGATAATATTTTCCTTGGTTCAGCGGTCAGCTTCCTTCCGGTAAATTTTTTTCAGTTCGGTAACCCACTCCTTAATTTGGACTAAGTAATTTT